GTCGCCTCCCGTGTGTCGAGCCCTTTACGCTGTCATCAACACCATCTAAATTCCCTCAGATGTACCGTGTCTGTAGTAGAATACGTTTGACTTGATTCTGCTCTAAGATTTATAAAGCAGGTGAGGTGTTGCATCTCAGGCAGGAAGAGTCATTAAAGTGGGGGGGGGGTTTGGTGCTGAAGCCCTGCGCTCGTTGACACATTTTAGGAAACAATGGCGCAGGTGATTGATGAGCCAGATGAGTCTGTCCTCTCAACAGACCAATTAACCTTGATGAGTCTCTGGCTGCTTTAAACCAAATATTTCCCTCTGCTTATTTTCCTCTCCGTCCTCCTTTTCATCRGCGCTCAAAGATGAAAAAGTCTTGTTGTAATGGTTGCGGCGGTTCTTTTTGGGTGTTTGAGCTGCAAAACGAAGAAATATTTACACTAAAGGAGGTGATTTGGCTCGGTTTGTCAGCTTGTGGCAAGTGGTGACGTTTTCTGTCTTTTCATGGGCAAATCAAGGCGGGGGTCTTTTTGATGTGAAAAACGTACGTTCAGATGTGTTTGCACACATAAAACGTAAAAAAAAACAAAATGCAGAAAGTTACAGTTATGGCTGATGGTTAGGCTACGGTCTCTCTCATTATCTTTCTTACCTCCCAGCTGTCTGTGGCTCTTGTAGGAGTTGGAGGTCAGTGAGGTTGAAGGAAAATCCTTCCAGGGCTCTGTGAGAAAATCCTGATAAGCCAAAACATAAAATGACACACTGACACTTTTTTTTTGCACATTTTGTGCAAARGTTAATGAAAATTTCTCATCTCCCAAACAGTCAGATCTTTGTTTCCATCTTGATGGATGAGTTTGTCCAATGTTTGTTAATATGTTGGATTTGAGTGGGATGTAACTGTGAAAATAGTTTCAATATCGGCTTAACTCTAAAACAATAATGAAGGAAATTGAATTTAAGGGTGACATAAGGGTGGAAAGTAAAAAGAAAAGAAATCCAGTGCTTGACTTTCAAAGCACAGTGGGCTGGTTACCTTGGTTAGTCCACAATAATTCACAGACCTTGCAGCACAGTCGTCACTTTGAAACATGCGCCATGCAGAGAAATTACTGTTTCTGGTGAGTTTTATTCTCATTTAGTTTCATTTTTTACACTTTATTTATGTGATTTAACTCCAGAGGTTAATGAGAAGATGTTGATTCTGATTAGGGCTGTGTGTATTGGAAATAATTTGGTGATATGATTCATATCACGACACAGGGATCATGACACATTGTGATATATGGCATTACGATAACTAAGATGACATATTGCCATTTTCCCCCTCAAAGTTCTAATATTAAAAAAACTCAGTATAAAGAGCACACCATGCATCCTTACTGTCTTCTTTATTTTGAACCCCAAAATGAGTCCACACCTCAGCTTTGAAGGCATTGGGTGTTGGTCTAATCCACTCAGACTCAGCCATCGGTACTTAGTGCTAACATTTACTCACAATGCTAATGTTTGAGCTAGCATTAGATCCTCAGGCTCCTCACAAGTAGAGGAGCCAAATGGAGAGCTGACCTCTGCCAACTAGAAGTCAGAGGGTAAAATACAAGCTACAGTGTTTTGAGAATTGATACAGTATCAGAAAATGAAATATCACAATATTTCAGTGCATCAATATTTTCTTACATCTGGGATGAACTCTTCTGTAAAGTTAGCAAGTGATGATCATTTAAACAGACCTGAGCAACTACTCACCACCTTATATCTGTCAAAAGTAGGGATGGTTACATGTAGCTGTTACAGACTGGTTTATCACACCATTGGATTAATCATTCATGCTCTCACTCACTCAGATACAATTTAGATAGAGGTGAAACAACGGATACATGTGGTCTCAGAGAAATATCAAAAATTTCTAAATGGCACACTACCTTAACCCCACTGCAACACATCACTACTACACACGCAGAGGTGATGGGTAGGCATTGGTTTGTCAATACTTCAGCAAAAGTTGCAATCGTGACCCATGATCGCCACACCTTGAACTTCCAGCTCAAACGCTTTGGATASAAGTAATATCTTCCGAACGATGCAATTGTCTATTGTCTACATCCATAACGGTATCATTGGCAGCATGGTTAGCACCGTCACAGCAAAAAGGTCCTCGGTTCAATCCCTTGTTTGGATCRGGGGTCTTTCTGTGAGGAGTTTGCATGTTCTCCTCATTCTTGCATGGGTTTTCTCTGGGTACTCTTGTTTCCTACCACAGATTAAAAACATACATGCTAGGCATCCCTTGCAAAGTAGATCTCAATGGGATTTGCCTGGTTGAWTAAAGGTAAATAAATTGCAACATTGTCATTCCTACATTCAATGCACAAACCCTCAAACTGGGGTTGAGCAAATCCAGTGTGAAAACATGAAAACTTCTACTCACAGGACCCCAATGTGGACCCAATGTGGACCATGTCCTATACATGGTGGACTGTATATCCAAAACTTTAGACAAAAAACTAAAGCTTCTAACTTTTTTGTCTAAAGTTGTCTAAACTAAAGCCTCTAACTTTAAACTCTTTGAACAGAAAACTGAGATAACTAACCAAGATAACAACCTAACCTAACATGCATGGTTTTTGGTTTGTGGGAGGAAGACAGACTACCCAATGAGGATACTTTAGCCAATGGTTGTAGCCAAATCTGCGAACAATAAACAAATTAAAATAACTTCTGAAATTAAACATCCCACTGAAGGAGCTGCTTGGTGCTGTGTAACAATCCAGAAATCCTCTTTTAGTACAGGTTTATACTGCGTGGGTTAAGTTTAAACCCCCCTCAGCCCGACTGAGATGCCAACACTCTTCTCAGATAGCCGTCCACATGGCCAATTCGATCGCTGCCCGGCTGGCTGGCAGAGCTCCGGGCAGAGTGTTGGAGTCAGTTCAGCAGGTCAGATTATAGACTGTGGGTATTCGTTGTGTTTGTGTGGGTTTACATTATCCAGCTATGGATTTCTGGACCTGGTATCTGGAGAGCTCAAACTTTCCAGACGACCGGCCGTCTGCTGAGAGTCCAGCCTGATGCCCGTTTTATTGTCTAATTCAGAGAAGTGGGCAGTAAACCAAAGAGTTTTAAGACTCCACGAGGTGACAGAGTCTAAGCAGGAGGAGGGTCAGACCATATGTTGTTTTATCCCCTCCTCTTCAGAGAGACCCCCTCTACATCCCCCCTCAGCTCAACAAACTCCCAGCCTCAGAGTGACAGCAACGTCTGTTCAGGCTTCTTATCATAAGATATCTCCTTTTCAAAGGGCACGCATTAGATCAGCCCGTTTTATGATGTCACAGTCTYCTTTTAGTGACTGAATGTGTCCATGAACGCAAGCATTTGGTGCATTTAGTCACGGTTTAAAATCTTGAATTACCCTCGCAGTGTTTTTGTTTGTTTTCAGTGGGTCTGTGTGGACAGTCTAAAGATCAGTCTGGATGTGTGTTTGCATGCGCACTAATCCTCTGTAGAGACTACAAACCATAAAAAAATACAGGAAGTTTTTATTATTATRATTTTTCATCTTTCCTGTTGTTTTGTCAGGCAGATTTAAAATGTATAACATAAGGCAGATCTCGGATTGCTCAATATGAAGTCCATCAGAAGCAGACGTCAGTCTCTAAGCTGGATAGTTTTGGGTTTGGGTTTTTTCCCTCCACAAATGGCACCAAGTTTCAGACAATAAACGCCTTTAGGCAGGAGGCAGCTGTTCCAARGGGAATGACAGGAACAGGTGAGCGCCCCCCTCATCAGGAAGTGAGTTACAGACTGTCTGCACTGTTAGGAAGATGTTTGGACGTTAAAAGGGTTTTTGTTAGGAGAAGATGATAAAAAGACACGAGGTTTCTGCTTTTGTTTGTGGTATTGTATGGCAATAAAGTTTTATTTTTTGCTCAAAACAGACAAAATAAAACAGCTCACTTCTGTTTATTGTTTATTTCTACATGTGTTCAGCAGGAACTTAAATGTTTTGCAAATGATGACAAAAGTTTTTTGGCAAGTAAATTATATTAATATAAAAGCTTGATTGATATTCCTACTAGGGTTGGYCAATATCAGCAAAAAATTCATTATGATTAATTGTGGCATTTAGCCYATAACGATTATTATGATGATTAATAGATGTCAATTGCACTTGCATGTTTTTGACTCTTAATTAGTTACCCTGTATTCTTTGAGTTATATTTACAAATCATCAGTCAACATTTTAACAGCCACGCCTCGTGTCTTTTCCTCTCAGCATTTTTTTGGATTCCACCTCTACTATAGTAGTGTTAGCTTTAACATTAGTGTTAGTTCCACATTAGTATTAGCATTAGTGTTAGCTCCATGTTAACTCCACATCAGCATTAATGAAAGCTCTGCATAAGTGTTAGCTCCACGTTAGCATTAGCTTTAGCTCTGTCAGTGTTAGCGCAACATCACTGTTAACAATAGCCCTTCGTAAGTGTTAGCTCCACTTTAACATTCACTTTAACTCTGCGTTAGAGTTAGCTCTGCATTAGCATTAGCATTGATGTCAGTTCCACATTAGTATTATTGTTAGTGTTAGCTTCACGTCAACCCCAAATCAGCTCTGTGTAAGCGTTAGCTCAACATTAGCATTAGCTTTAACTCTATGTCACATTTAGCATTTGCTTTAGCTCTCTTCTTGTGTTAGCTCCAGGTTAGCATCAGTTCCATGTGAGCATTAGCACCACAATAACTTGTGCCAAATAGTTTTTCTGATGAAATACTACACAAGCATTGAGCATGTGCAGTGATTTGTTAGTATTTTTCTAGGTCAAACTAATGGATTGGTTTCAGAAAAGAAGATTTTTTTAATATAAATAATAATTCTCTGCGAGGAGATTCAAACAAGCAGCAGCTGATCTGATGATTCCTTGATTTTATTTTTAGTAACTCTTAAGTAGCGCACCAGAAAATATCCACATGCATACTCTGACATCCTTTCTGCTCCGCCACCTTTTCAGCGTCCTGGCATGCCGTCTGGAGCGAGGATGCCCCACCAGGGAGCTCCCATGGGCCCCCCCGGCCCACCGTATGGCGGGAGTCCGGCGGTGCGGCCCGGCCTGCCCTCCCCGGTGATGGAGCCCAGCCGCAAGAGGCCCGCCCCGTCCCAGCAGGTCCAGCAGCAGCAGCAGCAACAGCAGCAGCAGCAGCAACAGCAGCAGCAGGCCGTACAGAACCGAGCCAGGAAGTGAGTCCAGCTTCAGTCCACCTTCGCCTCCAAACACAACACTGCATGGCCTGCATGCAAACTCTCCTTTATGTGTTCTTCTGTGATAAATGAGAGGTTTGAGACGACACCGGTTGTGGTTTCACTTTAAACACGGGGCAGTTCAAATCTGAGTCCAGTAATCTGAATGAAGTGGGTACAAAGTGAGCCAGGGCTGGAAAGATGTGGGGGCAGGTGGACAGTGAACAAAAGGGATTTAAGTTCCTCACCGTGGACCTCTGGAYAAAGGCTTCATCAGTGATAAACTATGAGCTGACACCCGTTAAAGAAATGTAAAACTAGTTAGCTAGTGTTTATTTATTCAAACCATTTAAGGTGGAGCTGGATAAACAGTTTTTAAAATAAATTAGCTAGACTAGCTATTTGGGGTGCAACAATACATGTACCCGTATCAAACTGTTCAATACAGTGGTTTAGGTGCAATACACACTTGTATCGAACAATACAGATTATTTAAATTTATTTTATCAGCTTGTCTTCTGAAGATGCTCTGTGTTGAAGGATCAGTGGATCTGTGTTCGACTACTCCACCTAGGCTGCATTTTCAAGTACAGATCCACTGATAAACTTGCTGTTTCAGCAACTTTTAATTTAAAAACTGTACTTTTGAGGTTAAACAAATGTTCATACTTAATTTAAATAAATTACAACTTAAAATGGGCTTGGATTTTTTTTCTTTTTTGTATTGAAAAAATATTGAACCGTGAGACTAAAATATTGAACCGAACCGAATCGTGAATTTTCTGTATCGTTGCACCTCTACTAGCTATATTAATTTAAAAAATAGAGTTAGTTAAAGAAATGCAAATGTAATTAGCTAATCTGAAGTCATTCAAAGCGCTATGTACAACAGGTAAGATATTAACTGTTTATAACTGTTGGAGAACTCCACTTTAAAAGGTTTGAACTATCACTTCAGCGTCGTAAAATAAAACCTGCTGGGTGTTTTTAAGCGGTAWCCGAAACAAGAAAAAAACAGCCAACACATCAGTTATTAGCTGGGTAAATGTGTCAGGAGTAGGATTTTAATTAGACTTTAAGGCGTTTCACTTCCTCTGTGGTTGGTTTGTTTAGGTCTCACCTAATGGTGACACCTTTTAAAATACCTCACACCTCACTAGACGTCTTTGCTCTGCAGACATTTTGTCTCGTAGCTTAAAAACCAAAGGTGTATTACTGACGGCACGTCGCTTAAACTGACCTTTTTCCCTGTTCTCAGATACGTATTTCAGATATTTTTACCAGTTCTTTTGCTTCTTAGGTTTTTAAACTGCTTTGCTGCTGGCAGGTAGCATAAATAAGCTCTACAGTCTTTTGAAATTCACACCCTTTGACTGAGATCACAGATGTTCTCAGCAGGTCTTTGTCTGCAGACGGAAAAAAAGAAGAATCACTTTGCACGCTTTGTCCATTTGAAATGACGAAAACTAAATCAGCAAACTGGAACATTTAACAAGAGCAAAGCTTTAGTTTGACGTGTAATTCAGTTTTAATTTTCATACAATGACTATTTTTTTAGGTTGAATTTAGGTGCTTTTTAAATTTATTTTTTAATCAGATACGGCTAAATGTATGACTGCAGAGTACTCTAATGCCTAATCAGTTCTAGGAATAATCATGTTTTGATAAGTGTACTGTTTGTTTCTAGCTTACCGCTTTAATTAAGCGTGTTAGAAGTTGTAATAAATCAGTACAATAAAGCCAAGGCTGTTGATTACAGCACTTAAGATTCTAACCTGATTATGAATCAGAAACATAAGAYTTTATTCAGTGGATCACTCCTCTTAAAGGCCGTCATAAATTTAACACGCTTTACTTTTTCGTTGTTGTTTAGAAAGAAAGAACAGAAGAGCAAAGCAAAGCYCCACCGTCCAGAAGCTGGATGCTCAGTTTCCACTCTGATTGTTAGAAATCTTCCCACTCGTACCTCAGAAGTCATGTGTTAGAACAAAAAGAAACCATGGCCTTTGTGTGTCTCGTTTTCACTCTTTGTTTTCACACGTGTGTTTCCTCTCTCCCACTTCTTAGTACCTTACATCTCTTTTTTAATTTTATTTCCCGGCTCGTCGCTTCCTTCATCCACATCGCCGCCATGCATGCACTGCATCTAACCATGTCTTAACCAAGTCTTAGTCTTTTGTATAGCAAAGAAGTATTACTGATCTGGTTTTGAGGCTGATACACTAAACAAGAGCAGAATGTGTCAGATTATTACCAAGTGCAGTTGGCTTCATGCACTGGCAGATCACTTCCCTTAATTTGAGAAGATTCAGATTATAATCTAGTATTTTTAATTTATTTTTAGGTAGTTAATCTTTGCAGAGTGGGAGCCTGAATTTCATGTTTGGTCTCATTGCACACACTCTAAAAATGTTTTGTTGGCTCAACTTTAAAAAAAATTGCAACAATTTCTACTGATCTTTTTCAGTTACCTACAAACAAACAATATTTACTTTGAGCTCCCAAAGTAGTGCTGGGCGGTATACCATTTGTACCGAAAACAGGTTTTTATTTTTGTTATGATATGACTTTTCTGAATACCGGTGTAAATAGCCTGAACACGTGCGGAACATTTCGTCYCGGCCGTCAGTGAACTGTTTCCCTAAGGACACGTTTCCACGCAGCACTGCTAAGCGCATAGCATGCTAACGTTATTGTTGGAACAACTGGTGGTGGGTGATGTGTTTTAGCCACTTATATGGTCTGACGTAAAAAATAAATCCCGTTTTCACCATCGCTGAATAGTAAACAACTCTTCAGTGTCGTGCATGGTTAGATTTAACTTGCTACGTAATAACGGAGATGTTATTGCATGGAGACTCTAGCGTGCTTCTATTGTGAAAAGCCCGGGGAGAAGTAGATTTGTAATGTAGCGAAGTTGACTGGTGTGCAAAGTGAGTCATCCTTTTAAGTTTTATTAACACACAACGGTAGACCAGATAATGATTTTTTTCTCAACCCTTCACAATCGGACCTAAATGCATGATTACTGTCTACAACAAGGCAAAGAAGAAAAGACATATAAGAGGAGGGAAACAGTGAAACAGAGATACAGTAAAAGAAAAAATCAATAAGCAAAGTTTGTACATTTTATTATCAGCTGAGCTGTGAGGAAAAAAATATAGTCAAATACCGTGAAACCGGTGTAATTGTTGAAAATACTGTGATATAAAATTTGGGTTATATCGCCCAGCTCCATCCCAAAGCATGATTAAATTGAAGCAACCTAATATTAATTTAGATATTTTTGTAATATTAAGTTGACATATTGCATTACACTCAAAAAACAGATTTTTGGATTTACTTAACCAAATTATGTCAACAAATTCCATGTAACTGAGTTAAGTGGAAAACAATGTTCCTGTTTATTTTTAAAGAAAATGTGTAATCAAGTTACTCCAAATTACCATATTATATATATCGTCCTTACAAATATCTGGTCAGTTTATTTTTGAAGTTCCTAAAGCAACTTTTTATGTTGTACAAACTCAATATTTTCTGTTGTTGAGTGAAGTCAAACATATTTGTTTAATGTGTTCAAATCTTTAAGGGTTACTTTTTATTTTTGTTGTCCTCTGACTTGTAAAAWTAAATAGCCAACTCACTGAAGCGTGTAAATGTAGACGACCTATTTTTTTATGCTGAAACATGCTTTTATGTTAAGTTCTACCAKCAAACATCATGACTTTGTTTTTAGAGTGCATCTGCTGCAGACGTTGAAGCTCGTCTACCGTCTGACTCATAAACACACACAGCTGTGCCCACCTATACGTATGGGGACATTCCATTGACTTRCATTAATTTCTACAGCCTAACACTGACCCCCTACCCTAAAACTAACCTCACAGGTACATACCTGACCCTAACCTAAACTCAYTTCACTCCTTGGTAAACCAAACCACCATCCCACCAATGGCTTTTAAACTAAACAGGACTCCGCTTAGGTTCCCATATGTATCAGTGGTCCCCACATGTAGGTGTTTTGTCTTAAAACGGTCCTCYTATGTRATGATATACCCGTCCACACACACACASAGAGTATCACTGGATGTGTACAGTGAGACCAGTGTGTGTCAGGTGTGCTCATTAGAGAAGCGATCAATGTGCACACTCAGAAGACCTCTCTGTTTCATTCCCTCACTATCTGCAGCCCCATTGATCCACTTACAATTAAACAGGCTTGTCGAACAGTTCGGAGGAAATGCTGCCCTGCGTCGGGGGCGGGGGTCTCAACCCCTCAGAGAGCTCGCTGATCGATCAGCCAGGGTGACCCGTCCAGGCGTCTTTGTCTCGTCCGTCCATTTGTCAGGTCGCGTGCGTCCTCTCTGGCACACAGGTCGACGCTTCACATCCTCCTTCCCCAGCTCCGACCCCCACGCCGCCTCCAGCCGACGGCGGACCACCTGTGCTCGCAATGTCACCGAGACCTTCGGGGCCAAGCTTTTACCACATCGAGCTAACGCTGCCAAAAATAGAAATTTTAACTCCAGTCTGCTGCGTGGTGTAAACACCTAACCCAGTGTCCTAGAAAGTATTCACTTATTTTCTCTTGTCTGCTTTGTGGAGAAACATAAACTCTCTGCTCTGGATTTAAAGAGCGCCGTAAGGATTAAAGACAGAGGCTAGTTGAGACATAACTTTCAGCTACTACCACACCAAAGTTCAGCTCGATATTTGCAAATTTGACAGAGTTACAGACGTTTCTGTGCTAGCTAAAATCTGCTGTGGCAGCCATCTTGAAATAGGATGACTTTGAAAGTTAACCAGTTGTACATCCATTCATCAGTTGCAATAAAATTCATCCAGTGGTTCAGGAGATATTGTGCTAACAAAGGCTCAAAACATCATTGCCCACCTTTCAGCTTTTGGAAATCGATGATAAAAAGTTTTTTTAGGCGAACYAACACAGATCTCAGACTAGAGCTTCAGACTAACTGAGTGTCAGTTTTACTCAAATATGTTGTGTTTCTCTCCTCAGTTGGCCCACAGACAGATGGTGGTGATTTGTTAAGTCGTATTTTTAACTGATCAAAATGAATAAAAGAAAACCAACAAAAAGGCTGAATTATTTAGAGATTAATGGCAGACTTGTTGAAGTTTAAAGAAACTAATGTTACAAGCTGTTACTTTTAGAGGCTTATTTTAAAACAATTGTTTTCTTTCCCCTCATTCATCTGATTATAACGCACTCAGTGACAAAAGCAAAATCAAAATATCCAGCTTGGAAAAAAATAAACAATACATGTAATTTTCTAGTCTGCTTTTAAAATGTTGGGCTCTATTTGTTTATTTAACTTTTGAATGAATTTACAAGGAAATCAAAGAAGAAGAGAGAGAAATTTGTGTTGGAAAAGCAACAAATGTTGTTCTTGGAAATCTCAAAGGAATATTTAAACTTATAAACACCTGAAGGTAACAGGGTTAAAGTGCTTTCAGGCAGAGGAAGACAGGTTTTTCCTTACACTTGTATTGTTTTGTGTCACCTGCACCAAACGTTCATCACTGCATCGAGACTTTCAACAATCWGAGCTGAATCAGAGGTAAATTCAGCTCCGCTCCCTCTCTGTGCTCACAGTCTGCCTTTTATCTGTGTGTTGTCTGTCTCTGTGTGTGAAGCATGATTGTTTTGGTTTCTTGGAAAAAAAAAACTTGTTGGACGAGCGCGTCCCTCAGACYAGTGGGATGCCTCCAGGGTCCTCCTCTGCAGCACGAGCATGGACTCAGTTAGACACCCCATCCCTGATGCCTGGCCTTGTCTGAGTCGCAGAGTGTGCACCCTACTAACAGACCCTTGAACTTCACACGTCCTAAACACACACACACACAGAGACGTCCAAACAGCCTGAACCAGCAGGTGTTTCCCCTCTGACATCCTAATTGCTGCCACTGAGTGTGTTTCTCGCCATAACTCTAATCGGACAACCTTCGAATCCTCACCAATTCTCAGGAAGCCCGTCGGATTCCCCGGAGCCAATGAGATGCCGGCGAGGCAGATGGACATGAGAGAGCCCCAATCAGATCCCACGCTTGGATCAAAGTAGGAGTTTATTCTGCTGCATGTCCCTTTTCGTTTGTTTGATGAGTCTGGCCTCTTTAGCCTTTCTCCTGAGCCTCAGCACTCCCTCCTGAATGAACTGTTTCGGTCAGACGTWGGCGCCGGCCGAGAGGCCGCCTCCCCAAAACGTAGTGGTGCATGCTTTGGGCTGGAGCATGGCATGATGGGAACAGTTTTGTGCAGCTAGAAAAGRAGAGTCCAGTCTTGAATAAGCATTCAGACAGTGTAAAATAGCAAATTGTTGTTTTTTTTTTGTCCCTTTTAATGCACTTCAGAAGCCTTCGACTGTCCTTCCAGACTTTATCACTTGGCATGCTGACAGACTTTAATGCTTCACATAAAGTGATAAAATAACATAAGAACTGCACTTTTTTTACAAACTCATCTACAGTTTCTGGAAAAACAAAACTGAACAAAATGACCCATATTGAATATTTTCCRTTGTTGCCCATCCCTACAATAAAATAGAAAATGATAGAGTTGCTTTAAAGCAGTCAGATTAAAAAAAAAGAAAGTTGTTTTAAACATTTACTAAATTTTAACCTACAGCCAGGAGATGAGTTCAATCAACACCTGCAGACATTTGTCCACAAATTCAAAACAAAAGAAATACAAGCTTGCAATAGTTTTTGCTTTAAATTGTGGTGAATGTTGAGTTCTGAGTGACTTTGCTGAAATGTGTTGAAGAAGCTGAAAAAAAAAAAAACGTTACAGATACAAGAAGCAGAACATGAGGTAAAAGATTAAATGAGCAAAAATGCTAGCTAAAAGACTAAATTGTCAAAGTGCAAGTTAAAAGCAAAAGCAAGTGGATTACTAGCTAACAGCTAAAAGTAACACAATTGTAGCTAAACATTAAAAACAAAGAAAACAGAAGTGCAATGATCACACATGCCTTTAATGAGCTGAAGGTTTGAAAATACACCAATAACTAAATCAGCACAAACGGTTCAGAGGCAGTTAGTTTGCAACTAAACCTACAGAAAAATAAAAGACGTGAAAACACTGATCAAACTTGTGTGAATGCTAAATCTGCATTCACACCATTAATGATTGATCTTTAGGTTCAGACTTTTTCCAACACAAACTAAAAAGGATTATAATCCACATAAAAAAACAAGTCTAGAAACATTTTAACCCAATRTTTTACACTTGGGTTAAACTAAATGTTAAACAGTGACATTTTAATTTGTTGGCAGGTGGATTRTGTTTTCACAGAGGCAGGATCTTTGTTTAGCTGTACCCAAAGAAACAAGGATTGTTTTTGTTTTTTTTAATAATATAGAAGATCTGCAGCAGAACCTCAGCAGAAACAGGAAAACATGTGGGTTGGAGAGCTAAACAATTGTTTAGAGAAAAAAGGAAGTTGCCTCAACTTCATATTTCACCTCAAATGTATCTATTTATTGTAAGCACCACCTCCTGGCTGTATGTCTTCACTGCACAAACTTAACCGGGATTCAAGTTTCTGCAAGACAGGAAACTCAGATGTRACACAAAATAATTCAAATTAAACGTGGCTTAAGAAATCAAAATTAAGGATTTGTGTTTAGTTTTTCTGTAAACAGAACAACACTCTTCTTGTCGTTACCAGGTTATTAAAATATAAACACAAATATCTAACAGTATAAAAACATTTAACAAAAGATAAGTCAGAGAAAAGAAGCAGTGTGTAAAATCTGATTCAGGAGTGTTTAGAAGTCTTGATGTTTAGTACAAGAGATCGTGAATTTTTTTTTTTTTTTAGGTTTGAGAAATCTTGGTTTTGTAAAATGAATCCATGTTGATCTTTTTAGAGAGAGAAAAGGATTTCTTCTAATTCTCCTTTAAAATAAAACAAGKCAAAATCAATATGCCAGTTGTTTCTCTAAGATGACTGTTGCTGTTTTTGCACCCTGGGGTACTTCAGAGCCACAAAAACCACAAAAACTCCTTCTGTCATGGAGCCGCTCACACCTCCTGATAATCACTTAATGAATGCATTCAATCAACAGCACCTGATCGCTGATTAACCTTCTTAATTCTCTAGAATCAGCAAAGAGAAAGTTGGTTTTTCCACACTTTGCTTATTCATTTGGGCTTAGTTTTTGTGTTTTTTTAAGACGATGCACTTCCTTTTAATCGTGACAAAAGTTTAACTCCATTTAATGACATAAATGATGGAATAGTTCTGCGTAATAAATGACACAAGTATCCAGATTTACGTTGTTTGCGGTGCAGGTGCGTGGATCGCTGCACATGCCGAGGCGTCCCGCAGATGTTTCAGTAGACCTGACTTAAAGCAAACTTTATGTCACTTTTTTAAAAACCTGATACAGGCGACAGATTTTCAGAGAGTTTAAATGTCCTTCGACTGTAATTAAAAAAACCTTACGATTACAGCCACACACGCATCCCCGTTTTAAAACGCCCTGTTAACCTGCGGCATCAGTCGTTTCTTCGTGTTTTGTGAAAACATGTCGGGCAGGAGATGTGTGCTGTGACTCTGTTTTGGCTGTTAGAGTTTCTGGCTCACCAGGTGGACCGCTGCATTTCAGAACACACACACACAAACACACACACACAGCTGGGATGCTGGGGTGCTGGATATGGCCCAGCATTTTAGCAGATGGCCTGGGTGCTACGCTATCAGTCACCATAGTAACATGCTCTCTTTTTCCTCTTTCTCTCTGTCTTTCTCTCCCTGTCTCTAGTGCTAAGAGAAGGAAAATGGCAGACAAGATTCTTCCGCAAAGGGTGAGGCTGCATGTTTTTACCTTTGTTGTTCTGTTTTCTTTCCTTCCTTTCCTGTCTTTTTTTATCTTTTGTGTGCAAAGCAGAAAAAAAATCTGCTTTGTTTTTGATACCTAAGCTTCTGAGAATGCACTGAGGGCCAGATGATTGTTTATTTCCAAAATAAGAAGAGAAGGGATGGGTGAAGTGATCAGAAGAGTTTTTCTTTGTAAGATTTGCTCACTGATTTAAATTGGAGTAGTCATTGGGGGGTGTGGTTCGGATGTAAACACAAGTAAGCAGGATTATCATTTCCACAGGTGAGCGTGAGGCGTTTGCAGGTTGTAATTTTCACCCTTTAGTTTCAGGTTTCCTGTCACCTCACAGCAATCGTGGCCGGCAGAGAGACGGCTGAAAACCGCTGAGGTCTGTGAGCTGGGTCTGTGTCCGGGTCTTATCCCCCTGACATTACCCAGACAGGGAGATAGCAGCAGGCATGGCATGGGGTGGCACTCCACAACAATGACTCAGGCATGGGGAATGTCTGCCACACTCCTCCACCAGCTTAGCACCTGGTCCCGCTCTGAAAGCCAGAGAAATGGAGATAGGGCAGGAATGTGAGGGAACAATAAAGGGAGGCTTTTAGAAAGAAACATGAAAGAAGCAGTGTGTGTGTGTGTGTGTGTGTGTGTGTGTGTGTGTGTGTGTGTGTGTGTGTGTGTGTGTGTGTG